TTTTTTTTTTTTTTTTTTTTTTAGAGACAGAGTCTCACTTTGTTGCCTAGGTTGGTCTCAAATCTCTGGCTCCAAGTGATCCTCCTGCCTTGGCCTCCCAAATTGCTGGGATTACAGTTGTAAGCCACTGCACCTGGCCTGTGAATGCATTCTTTTGATATGCCTTTTCCTTAATGTTCTTCAATTAGTTAAACTCTTTATTTTTTTCCCCCATATTCCTTTAAACCTTAAAAACCATGATTCTCAATTTGGGGAGCATTAAAAAATACCACATGACTAGCTGGGGGTGAGCTCTTGGCATGGCATTTTTAAAAAGCTGCTCAAGGTGATTCTAATGTGCAACCAAGATTGAGAACTATTGCAAAAGACTTTTACCACTAGCTCACTGGTGACCTGTGGGACTGACATTAAGGTATCCATCCTATTAACATTTGTTTTTGCTGATATGATACAAAAATAGATTGAAGACCCAAGAATAATAGATGAATAGAAAAGAGCCTATTCTGTCTTAGGCCCTCTGAAGTAGTTTCTTAGTTTTGGCTGCCATTAGCGTCATCTGGGGAGACCTTTTAACTCATTCGCAACCTCTGATGTGAATTTGCATCATTCCAAATTCTGTTCCTGGATGCCACTGACATGAATATACCTCATTGTGGAAGACTGCCTTTTTGGGTTTATAATCCAAATAAAAATGCAAAGTACAGAATGCTGGTCAGAGTGGCGTTTAAGGCAAATACTGGATATGTCTGTAACCATCAGCTGTATTGTTGAAAAGGTAACAATTTAGAAAAGATCATTTCACTTGTGCTTAATGACAGACGTTTGCAGCAGCCAGCTTCAGATTTTTTTTTGTTTTCACCTGCTTTCAGTATTAGAAAACTGAAAAATTTGCCGGTCCTGAATGTGTTAAGATTCCCAGTGCCCAGATCTCACAGCAGACCAATTAAATTATAATTTCTTGGGGCAGAACAAAAATATCACCATTTTTTAAAACCTCTTCAGATGACTCCAGTGTGCAGCCAAGCTTGGGAAACACTATAAAGATATTTATCTCCCCCAAATCATAAATTGGTGCACCTTTGACTTGAAGTAGGTTAAACTACCTTGGGGCCTCTTTATCAGCCTTCAGACCCATCTGCATAAGTAGGTTTCAAGGAATAGACCTTGACTGGTGGCATCAGCACAACCTACCATGCTTGTTAGAAATGAAAATTCTCGGGTCCTACCACAGACGTATTGAATCAGCAACTCTGGTGTCTGTTTTAATAAGCCATTCAGTGATTTTCATGCATACTGTTGATCTGTAGCATTGCACATAGGTAAACTCTGCTGTAACTGACTGTGATGTACTACATTTGTATTTACTTTCAACAATCCAAACTGAGATTACTTATGTTTGAACTCAAATATTTGGATAACATGGCTTCTCCAAGGAACATAACTTGCTAAACCTGAAATTTACAGTTTTCCAAATTACAACTTGAGAGAAAAACTAGATTGATAATTAAATCCATAGTTACGATATAATCATTCCTATGCCACACAACAGAATCATTTTGGTTAGCAGAATTTGATAATAATTTGACTGTTTACTAACTGGCACTGTACTAGCCACTTTACATGCTTCGTGACACCTTTATGAGCCAGATACCACTATGTCCCATTTTGCAGATGAGAAAACAGAGGTACAAAGAGATACTTTCTCAAGCTCATACAACTAGCAAGTGGTGGCACTAGAATGGGAACATAGGCAGTCTTTCTCAAAGTCTATGCCATCTACCTGTGGATGTGGAGCAAACATATTTTACAGTGTGTGTAATACCAAGGCCACATAACAATAATGATAATAATAATAGCTTTACTTATTGGGCCATTATTGCATCAGGCACTGTACTAAAGCTGCAGTATTACCATTATCTTGTTTATTTGAGTCAGAGCCTCACTCTGTTGCCCAGGTTGGAGTGCAGTGGCATGCTCACAGCCACCGTAGCCTCGACTTGCTGGGCTCAGGCAATCTTTCTGCCTCAGCCTTCTAACTAACGGGAACTACAGGCACGCACCACCATGCCCAGCTAATTTTTTGATTTTTTTTTTTTTTGAGCTCCGGCGATCCTTCCACCTCAGCCTTCCAAGTAGCCGGAATTACAGGCATGCGCTACCACGCCCGGTTGATTTTTTGATTTATTGTAGAGATGAGGTCTCGCCCAGGCGGGTCTCGACCCCGCGGGCTCAGGCAGTTCACTCACCTCAGCCTCCCAAAGGCGTGGGATTACACACTGAGCCACCGAGCCCAGCTAATTTTTTGATTTATTGTAGCTATGAGGTCTTGCGAAGTTGCTCGACCTAGTCTTGAATCCCTGGGCTCTGGCAATCTCTTGCCTCCACCTCTCAAAGTGCTGGGATGGCAGTCACGGACCACCACACCCAACCCACCATTATTTCATTTAAATCTCATAGAAGCCCGAAGAATTAAAGGGGTTTTAAATGCTTCCTCCTCCCTCAATACATTTCCAGATGAGGAAACAGAACCCTAGAGATGAAGTAAGTTGTACAACATAAGAGTGCTTGTAAGAGGTAAAGCCAAGACTTGAAGTTCTTTCTTATAATCACTGGACTTCTAATTTGTGAGAACTAATATAGCACAGTGGCTAAAGGATGCAAGTATTGCATCCAGAAAGTTTGCAGTCAAATGCCGTCTTTGCCATTTGGGCTGTGTACCTTGGGCAGATTAATTTCATTTTTCCCATTTGAAAGATAATAGTATCCTTTAAGGCTTGTGAAGATTAGATGAGGTAAATATATGTAAATGTGTTTAGAACATCAGGACTCACAATAAGCACTGGCAATTGTCAGTAATGATGACTACTGATTTTTATGTATACAAATAAATATACTATTTCCTCTATGTTCCCCTTTTTTACTATATTGCATAGTGAATGTATTGTATTTTTCTAAGATTAACAATTGGAAACAATGCTTTAGATTTGAAAGTGTATCATCTGAAAAGATGTTTGGCAAGTGAAAGAAAACACACCAAGCATATGATTTGAAAATGTAGCCAGGCTCAGTGACTCAGCCTGTAATCCCAGCTCTTTGGGAGGCCGAGGTGAGTGGATTGCCTGAGCCCGCAGGTTTGAGACCTGCCCGGGCAACTTGGCGAGACCTCATCTCTACAATAAATCAAAAATTAGCCAGGCG